TTTGGGGGGGGTGGGGGAAAGCATGCTGAAAAGAAAGACAGGTGAAACTATGAAAGGACCTCTAGTCATGAAAGCAGTTGGTAACAGCAAACTACCATGGGGACACACTGGATTATCCATCTTGCAAGAGGTCTGAAGAACATCTGCAGGCAAGTGTAACTATTTGAAGGGACTAGGAGTTTTATTATGCTATATGGGGATTATTATATGAGTACTGTGGCATGGTTAATTATCTCTGTTAGCCTTCAAGTCTATGAGTTTGCAGGGGTAAACAGGACTATCTGCAACTAAAACCAGTGCAAGAGGCAAAGCTCACAGGTGCAGACTCCCAGGGGCTTGGTCTGGTCATGGTATGACTCCTGTGCACCAGCTCCCAGGGCTGTGGATGATAAGGAAACGTGAAAAAGGCATCATTTCAAAGTGAAAACCTGAAGTGGGGGAAAGTACAAAATCTGTGGGGCAAAGCCCCTGGGCAGCTCAACACATAAGAGGTTTGCATGACCGAGGCTGCACTCCATGAACTCCTTTGTTGTTTCTCTGTACCCCCCTTTGCTGTGTTTGCCACCTGCAGCCTGAGGTGACATGTCCTGAATTTACTCACGACTCCCAAAATAGAGTAAATATTTTTTCACTTTGATTTGCAAACCATAAGTCTCCCCCCTACCTCCACCTCCGTTCTTCAGCCTTTTGTCATCTTCTCCTTCACCACTGAAATTTTTGACGGTTTGTTCTCCCCCAGGTTCCAGGAAACCATGTGACTAATTAAGCATTTGGGGCAAGCTCAGGTGCAAGGAAAAAAACAAGTCAGATGATGGGCTGCTGCCCACTCACTCCAGTGAATGCATTCCATCTCAGCATGTGTCTGCCCTGCTACTTTGTAAGGGAAAAGAAAATATAAGGCTTCCCTGGGCTGCCTGCTGCAGAAGCTCACAGCACAGCCACATCACTGAGTCTCCTGCTGCAGAAGCAGAAGCACTGGGAGCCTGGACAGAAGTGTAACTGCCTCTTTCCTACTGGAAGGATTTGGCCTATGTATTTTGTCACACCATCCGAGCGGCTCTGCTCTTTCAGGCTTTTAAGCAGTTTTGGGTGTACCCATTGGAGTGTTCACAAGAAGAAGAGTCTGCAGCCCACAGCCCGAGTTGCCAGAGGTGGCATGCAGCAAATGAGTGGAAGGACTAATGGCTGGGGACATCTTCAAAAGGACATTTATGAGCGAGAGCCACTCTGGATTTCCGTGTCCTCTTGGCATCTAAAGGCAGCAGGAGCTTGGAGCTCCCACTTTGTACAGGTTCCGACGGTGAAGGGCCCTGGGTGGCATGTCTTGTGCTTTGGAGTAGTGTCTCTCAGCTTCTGCTGAGCTCAGAATTTGGTGGGGTCTGGGAAGCCCTAGATGGTAGTATCCCATCCCTTGAAGCAGGAACTTCCCAGCTGTTGGTGTGCTTCAAGCAGCCAGTTTAACCTCAGATTTTTGAAAGACTGCTGGTCCCTGCATTAGTACACTCTGCTCACCTATACTGGGCTTCACATACCTACTTTTACCCACGTATGGGTAGGAAGGATTGCTGCATCTGCCCACAGAAAACCTCAAAGTCTTGTAAAGGCAGCTAGCAACAGAGAAAGGGGCTCACTTTTGGTACTCTGTAGAAGGATTTCACCATAGCCCCTTGAGGGTGGGACACTCCTACCTGTCTCCACACCTTCAGCATCTGCAGACATGCAGTTACTCCACATGTCAGACAAAAGAAGAGTTTCCCAGCTGCAGACTTGATGTTCAATCACAGGATGGAGCATGATAGCTACTACTACCATGTATTAATAACTCTGCTTCACTTTATGGCTTTAACAGCTGTAGCAACCAAGATTTATAATGACACGTTACACTCAGCAATGCATCATGTAAGGAAACTAATCTGATGGTGCTAGGTCACCGAGCTGACTTACAAGTTTTTAAGTGTGTTTCTTCTGCCAAATTTGCTGCCCTATTTACTAGATTAAAATGAACAAGTTGCACTGTGTTCATGAAACTCCGTACTTGCCTCTGTTTTGGCAGGTCCCAGACCTTTGTCCCTCTCTCACATTGCCGTTCCAGGATCCATTTGGTCTTTCTTCCTCTCCCATCCCCTCTTTTGATAACCTTTTGAAACAGTATCCCAAAGAGGGGCACACCACAGGACAGTCAGGGAGGGACTGTAAGCTGGGAATAGGTGCCGAGGACATGGGCCAAGATTAGGGACGGAGCATCTGTGGAAGAAGGGCTAGATGGTGGTTGACTGAAGGTAGAGGGTGACTGTGGCTGCCTCTCGGGAGGAATTTGTCTGTACCCCAGTTGCTCTTAGGAAAAGGGTGTCTTGCAAAGATTGGGATCGTCTGTTACCTCTCCCTAGATTCAGAGTTACAGCTGACAGCAGGGAAGTCAGTCCTAAATAAACATTAAGTGTTAATACTGTACCCTGGGGCTGGGCCCACATCAGAGCCACCTTGGCAGCCACAGTAGCTCAGCAGTAATCCATGGTTTTTAATCTCTCTTCCCACCCATGTGGGCTCCCATGTTTTCCATCCTTACGGCACAGCAATACACTGCACGAGCACAGGCAGATGGATAGCAGAAGGCTGGCTCTTCACAGGGGCAAAAGGGCTCATTCTCCTAGACATTCATTACTCAGAGATGCATTCCTCATTATTTCTGCAACCTACCCAGCAGTCTGACCCAGCAGGCTTTAAATAGCATTACAAAATCCCATCCCACACTGGGACCCCCTTTGTGGGACCAGTGAAAAGTGATTAAAAATAACAAGTGTATAGTCAGGAGGTCTAAATTCACTGCAGAGAGTGCTGCACTTCCACACCACTCAAGGTCTGCAAACCAGAGGAAGCAGAAAACACATCAGGTATCTGATCTTTTAGGCAGAGTTGAGATACCTCTTTGTTTTTATAAACATTTTTATGACACAAGAACTTGCAAACAAATAATAGAAAGCATGAACCTTTTATTGATACTTTAACATCAGTAATAGTAGCATTTGCTGCAGTTTATCTTTGCCTTTATTGGTATCTAATGAAAATTACAAATAGAAAAGATTTTTCAGCATGTAATTTAATTACTGTTTGCCCATGGGGCAACAGAAAACATAATGTCCAAAATAATCAGGTTTTGTCATAAGATAATAATTTTGGGGGCAGAAATACTGCTGAAGAAATGTTCTTAAGCAGGGAGACCATTTCCTGTTTTAACCTCCAAGTGAGACTTCTCCTTACTGGTGCTTATGTCTGTCATTTCTGCTACTACTTCTTTTTGAGTTCCCTATTTCTCTTTATTGTTTTAGAAATGCAGGGAAAAAAAATACTGAGAGAGACCTAGATCCTCATGTACAACTCCATACCATCACAATTGTATTAGGTATTTTCTTTCCTAGCTCCATCTTGAAAGCGGTTTTATTCCCCTCTCTCCTGCCATGCTCTAAGTTCATTATTATCTCATCAGACAGAAATAAGGCAACTTGCTTTGAACCTGATTCTAGCGTAATTTGTTTGCTGTTATTTATCCCAATGGTGTGCTATGGGAGAAAAATAAATACATAAAGCAACCCACCCATATTCCTGTTCAGCTTTGGCTTTGTTGGCAAAACAATGCAAGTTTAACTGTTTGCTTGGCAAAGAGAAGCTTTTCATGAAGTTTCCTCTCATAAGGTCAGCTCTTCTCCGCGTGTGTGTGTAGGTTTTATTCCATCTTTCTTGACTGCGTATGACCAGTGTAACAGATGTGTTGGGGGTTTCTACCAGACATTTTTTAGCCTTACTGGAAATAGATCAACTGGCCTGTTCTAGGATCAGTTTTGATCTTTTCCCCCCTCTACTAATTCCTAATTATCCTATGAAAAGTAAATAGCCCAGGTCCTTTCTCTCCTCCTTTGCTGAAACACTGAGGGTTCACAGCAGAAACCGTAGCATTTATCCCCAGTGCGCGATCTTGCACCACATCCTATGAAACGCCAGCTGATTTTTATAACTCTTTATCTCCAAGTTATTAATTGCTTCCTGTTTAATAGTTCGGTCCTCCTCCATGTCTCCACTGCCTTCCCCATCCCATCAGCTGTGGTTTTCAGAAGATTACTGTTTCAATACTTTTGCTTTGTCCTTGCAAGCGCATCCTTGCAGTGTTTGTATTAACTTCTCATTTCGCTATTGCCAATGTGGTGCTGTAGCAATTGCTTGAGTGAAGCCTAGAAATTTTGGCTATATCATAGAATCATAAAATGGGCTGGAAGGGACCTTAAATATCATCCAGTTCCACACCCCCTGCATGGGCAGGGACACCTCCTACTAGACCACGTTTCTCAAAGCCCCATCCAACCTGGCCTTGAACACTTCCAGGGATGGGGCATCCACGGCTTCCCTGGGCAACCTGTTCCAGTGACTCACCACCCTCATAGTGAAGAATTTCTTCATAACACCTAGCCTAAATCTCCCCTCTTCCGCTTTAAACCCATTTCCTCTTGTCCTCTCACTACAAGCCCTTGTAAAAACCCCCTCCCCAGCTTTCCTGTAGCCCCTTCAGGCACTGGAAGGCCACTTAAGGTCTCCCCAGAGCCTTCTCTTCTCCGGGCTGAACAGCCCCAACGCTCTCATCCTGTCTTCATAGCAGAGGTGCTCCAGCCCTGGCATCATCTTCATGGCCCTTCTCTGGGCCCTCTCCAACAGCTCCGTGTCTATCCCGTGCTGAGGGCCGAGCCCG